GCCACGAGGGCAGAGGTGCTTGTTCTGTGGATTTGTCCCTCTGGCTCTGAGTCACATCCCCGGGGAGCTCCTGCTCTCACCCAGGTGGACAAGACCTCTGTCCCAGGGACATGGAAGATGAGCCATAATCCAGCCCTGCATCACAGACAGCAAACGCTGCTGGCTCTGAGCTCACCCTGGGGTATGGACACCCCTAAGCCCACAGGTTGGGTTTCTCCCTGAGTCGGAGCTCTTGGGGTACCACAGCCTCCAGTGCTCCCAGGGCACAGCTTGGCCAGCGTTTCCCATCTCAAAACCCATGGCCACGGAGCTGCCCACGGGCACTAGAGGGCACTGGGATCCCATCCTGGGAGCAGGATTAGGCCCGGGGCTGGGGTGGGGCAAGGTGCTGGGATGGGGAGGCAGCTGCCAGGCTGTGGACAGTGCAAGGACAAGGAGAAAGACACCAACCACCCAGGCAGAGCTGGCCCAGATGAGAAGGGCCGTATCTTACACACGTACATAAATACAGTTCGGGGGGGGTGTTGGTGGGGAGGGGGCTCTGCCACTCTCCAGAGGGTCCCACGCTGGTCATGTCCATGGAGTCCTTCATGAACCACACACAGGGCTCCCCGGGAGGGAGACAGGGTGGTTCCCCCCCATGATGGAGGGTTGGTGGACGTCCTTCACACCAGCAGCCGGGGCAGAGGGGTGTTTGGGGTGCGGCGTGCACGGGGTCTGAGGCCTGCTGCCCTGCTGTGGGTGTCCCTGTCCTGTCCTGTGGCACTTCTGCAGGCCCAGCCCCTCATAGCACCTGTATGTCCCAGATCTGCGTGGGTCTCTCCTCGGCCATGTCCCAGACAATGGCGTGGTCCCGGTCGTAGGTTCGGCCGCCTGCAGAGCGAGGGGGAGGTTTCGGGGGGCAAACCACATTCCTCATGGTGGTGAAGGGGTGGGTGCCCCATTTTGGGCATCCCTGTGAAAGAAACCCCTGTGCCAGCGCCGAGGCCTCACCCTTTACGTCGAGGACCATGTCCTCGAACATCTGGCTGTGGATCCGTCCCTGAGAATCCACGCTCCAGGTCTGACGTGGCATCCGGGTCTCGGACCACAGCACAGCCTTTGCACCCTTCCCAGCTGGCCCGATGACCTGCAGGCTCATGTTGGGGGCCACCTAAAAAGGGTGGTGGTGGCCAGGTCAGCCCATTCCCTCCATCACCTCCACCAGCAAAAAGGAGCAGAGCCCAGAGGGGTGTCCCTGCAAATGCTGCTGGTTCTGGGGTGGGATGTGGGATGAGCAGGAAAACCCCTCAGTGAGAAGTAGGGATGGTGAGGATGACAAAACCTCTGCAGGGAAGGCAGAGACACCTTCATGTCTCCAGAGGAGACTTGGGGAGGAGAATCACCCCATCTTTGGGGGCAAGGTTGAGGTCAGACAATTGGAAAAGCTGCTGTAAACCCTAAAAGATGGCTGTGGGGTGGGGAGTACCCCAAAGGGAGTCCTGCCAGGGGCTCCCCTGGTCCCCTCCATGGCTCTGGCTGTCACACCTGACCTGGTTTTTGATCAGCCCATCCTCGTAGTACCAGACAGAGCTGCTCTGCTCCCTCGGGCTGGAGACCACCACCCGCCCTGCCTTCATGTCCTCCACGTCGTCAGGGACCGCGAGGTAGAGCTCCAGCTCCCTGCTCCTGATGCGGAAATAGATCCGTCTCTGCAAAGAGAGAAACCTTTCTTTTTGCACCCAAAAAGCCCTGCTGCCTGCACCTCAGGCACCTCACCTGGCTGGGGCCTTGGGAAGGGAGGATCCTGGACTCCGCTGTCCTCCCCCCAGGAGATCCTCTCCCCTCCCCAGGGCGATGGCTGTGACCGTGACCTGTCCCTCGTAGCTGGTGCAGGCACGGCTCACCACCCCGACATGCCATGGATTTTACAAGGCAGTTGCCCACAGGGAGTGTTTCACCACCAAGGCAGCCACTCCCAGGGAGGGGGACAAGCATCTGAGGTGACAGCGCCAGGCTGGTGGCACCTTTCACGTGTCAGAGCTGTCAGCTCCGTGCCGCTGCTCTCCAGGCTCCCCCAGCCCACCTGGAGCAGACTGGCAGCTCTTTAGCTCCATGTGAGCCGCCTGCCCTGGGGTTTCGGGGTTCACCTGCCCTGGGATTTTGGGGTTCACCTTGCCATGTGCCAGCGCCCTGTCCCCTCCCAAAGGTGACATTCACCTGGCGGATGGGGTAGAGGGACCCCACGTGCTGCAGCCCACTGTAGGTCAGCCAGTTGGTGATCTCAGTGCAGTCCAGCAGCCACTGCCGCCCTCGGAAGTCACCGTGCTCGCACAGCACCCAGCTGTGGGGACAGGATGGGACAGGACAGGTCGCCCCGGGGGGGCAGGGGACACCCACTGGGTGCTGGGGGATCAGGGCCGGGGGCTCACTTACATCCCGCCTTTGACACGCACGGACAGCACGTGGTTGTTGAAACCCTCCGCCTGGAGACTCCGCACTTCGGAGTTCAGCTCGATCTCCTTCCCCTCGAAACACTCCAGCCCGTGCAGGAAGATGGAGGGCTCCGAGAAAAACTGTGGGATGGTGGGGAGAGACGGGGTGGGAAGGGGGAAGGTGGGAAGAGTGAGCACCCCATGGGGGCAGGAGGGCTCCAGGGATGGAGAGCCAGGACAGGGGATGCCTGTGGGAGGGGAAAAAGGTCCTGGGGGGTTTATGCTGTGGGGAAGGGAAAGGAGAAGGGAAAAGGGAAGGGCTGTTACTCACCAGTGGAACCTTCCTCAAGGAGCGGATGGTTGTGGAGCAGAGGCAGCCCATGGCACTGAGCGTGGGGTACTCACCCTCAGACAGCACGTGCTGCTCCCCCGCGAAGTCCTGCCCGTCAAACAGGATCCAGCTGGCAGGGAAGAGTGTGCCCAGGCTGACATGGCCATTGTGATGGGCATCCATCCCTCCTGTGACCCCCCAGCACTCCCATCCCGCCCACCCTCTGGGGAAGCGGCTGGGGTGATGTCCCTTTCCCATCCCAGTGGCAGCAGCGAGGCCCTGGACACCCCCACCTGCCCCCACGGACTCTGCAGGAGCGTGGGATGAAGGCGTCGGGCAGGGCTCCCTGGTCCTCCTCGAAGGCAACATGATCCCCCGAGAAGTCAGGCTCCGAGAAGAGCAGGATCTGGGAAGGGGGAGCAGAGGGGGCTTGTTGAGGGGGTGCAAAGCATCGCCACCACCCCACAGGGGGCCACATCCCCCAAGGGGGGGCACATCCCCCTCCCCATCCGCCGCTCCTGACCTTGGAGACGAAATGCAGGTTGTGTTCCCTGACCTGGAAGCAGACAGAGCGGGGCTGGTGGGTGTCCAGCCTGGGCCCCCGCACCAGCCCTGCGCGTGGCAGCAGCGGGGGTGCCGTGGGGGCCGGGGGTGTCCCACTCCAGTGCTCCCACCTGCAGGATGGGCTGTGCCGAGGCGATGCGGCAGTCGCTGGCACCCCAGTCCTCGCAGTTGCGGTACACCCCCTTCTCCAGGATGTACTGCTCGCCAGAGTAGTTGGTGCCCCCGTAGGCCACCCACCTGCCGGGAAAAGGTGAGTGCTGGCTCGTCCCCACCCTGCCCTGTCCCCTCAGCCCCTCTGTGCCCCGTCCCTGCACTCACACGCCGCTCAGCACGTGGATGGACTGGGTGACGGTGCCGTAGCCGGCCAGCTGCGTGTCGGGGAGCGCCTCGCTCAGCTCCACACTCGGGCCCTCCTCGAAGTCCATGGCCTCAAAGAGGACCAGTGCCGGGTCAGAGAAGTCCTGCAGGGAGAAGAAGCCCCCCCCCAAGCCCCTCAGTCTGTCAGGGGAAGGGGCTGTGGGCTGGGCACACACACAGCCAGGGTCCTGCCTGGCCTCAGGAACACCAGGGAGGGTGGGAGCAGCTCCCAAACCTCTGAGTTTGTGGGATCTCAGGCCATTCCCAGCAGCCTGACGCAGGTAAGAAAGGTTCCCTTTTGGGAAATGAGGGTGGGATGGGGGTGCCTGGCTCTCCTTGCCCACACTGGGTCTATTCCCAAGTGATGCCACCATCCCTGCCCTCACCGTCCGTATCAGCCGAAGGGACACCAACTCCTTGCTGTAGCCACCCCACTGCCTCCAGTCCTGGTATTCCCCTTCCTCCAGCAGGTACTGGTGTCCACGGAAGCCTTCCTTCTCGTAGCCAACCCAGCTGTGGCACAGGCAGACACAAGCAGAGAGGTTTCCAGAGGATTTCCAGCTCTCCCAAGTGACTCACAGCCATCCCACAGCCCTGGGCAGCTCCTCCAAGCCCTTTTCCAGGGGTGGCCATCACCTTCCCAGCCTGCTCCAGCCAGGATGCCAGCCCTGCCCACCCCGTGCCACTCACCAGCCACCCAGGACACGCAGGGAGCCCACGGTGGGCAGCCCTGGCTCGGGAAGGCGCTTCAGGTCGTAGATGTCTCGGCTGATGGTGAAGCTGCGGCCCTGGAACCCCGCAGACTCATAGATCAGCACCTGGGGACACAGTGGTGTGAGAATGGTCCCATGGATGTCCCAGCCCTCAGCTCCCCAGGCACTGGCCCAGCACTCACCTGTGGCTCTCCGGGTCTCTCCACAACAGGGCAGCCCTGGAAGGAGAAGGAGCCCCAGTGAGGCTGCAGTGGCAGGAGGGGACATTGCAGGGACATGTGCTTGCCCCCATTAAAACCTGAGCTGGTTTTTTGGGTCATTTTCATTCAAGAAGCTCTTTTGGAACTTTCCTTCACCCCTAACCCTCAGGAGCTCTTTCCAGAGCCACACTTGGCACATTTTCCTCACCGAGCTCTCACTGATGTGAACCGGGAATTGTCAGGACATGCTCTGACCTGTCATGCCCAGGGCTGGATACATCCCTGGCACCCAAAGAACCACGGGCCAGCAACCAACACTCACCAGCCTGATGGGGTGCATGGAGCAGATGGATGGATCCTTTGCTCCCCAAGCCTTTAAATTGGGGTACCCGCCCGGCTCCAGAACGTAGGGGTCATCGTCGAAGAACGGCTTGGAGTAAACCAGCCACCTGGGGAAGAGGGGGAAGGCATCACACCCGCTCACCCAGCACCCACCCGGCACCCACCCAGCCCCACAGAGCCACTCACAGCCCCGAGTGGACGATGATGGAGGCGGCAGCAAGCGCCTGCCCCTGCGTGCGGGTGTCCTCGGCCGAGTCGGTGAACTTCAGCCGGGCGCCTTCGCCGTTCTCCTCCGCGAACAGGCTGATCTCGGGGGTGCGGTAATCCTGGGGGCAGAGGGGTGTTACAGGGGCCCAGCACCCCTTGCTCGGAGGCTCCCGGGGGGAGGTCCCTGCACTCACCCTCACCACCCTCTTGAAGGAGCCGATGCGGAAGGGGCGGCTGCCCCGGGGCTGCCCGTTCTCCCCGTAGGCCGTCCAGGGGTTGTCGATCTCCACGTCCCCCTCGGCCAACACGCACTTGCGCCCGTGGAACCGCGGCTTCTCGTACATCACCCACCTGGGAGCGGGGTGGGAGAGGAGAGGGGGGGAAATCCCTGCTTTACCCACAGCCCTGTGGCCACCGGGAGGGAGCCTCGGGGCAGAGTGTGGGTGGGGACGTCCTGCCACCGCCACGGTGCTGGATTCGGCAGCCGCGGTAATTAGACCCGGCAGGACGGTCACTTCCTGAACCCCAGGCTGGGACCTGGCCGACATCCCCGACACAGGGAGCGCACAAATCTCATCCCAGCCCTCCCTCTGTGTCCTCTCAGTGTGTCCTCGCCCTGCTGCTGTCCCCTACCCGCCTCGGATGACACGGATGGAGATGGTGTGCGAGAGCTCCCAGGACGTGGCGTCGGGGATGTCGCCCCAGATCTCCCGTTTCTGTCCCGCAAAGCCGGCGTCGGAGTAGAGGATGATCTGGGAAGGGGTGACACAGAGGAGAAGTGCCATGCCATGCCCCGTTCAGCCAGCCCAGCCCGGCCCCACCGCCCTCCCTGTACCTTGCCAGGTCTTGTGTTGATCTTCTCAAAGCCCTCCTTGTCCTCCTGCTGTAAAGACCCCAGGGGACAGGCATGTGAGGAGCGTGGAGGGACATGGGCTGCACCAGCCATCTCCCTGCAGCCCGAGGAAGCTGGAGCGGCAGCCTCGCGTCTGGCGTCTGCCAAACCCTCCCACCGCCCCGAGCAGCCACACCTCGAGCATTCCTGCACTGCTGGGGATCAGCCTCCTGCCTGCCCTGGACCCTCCTGTCACCCTCCCGGGACCCTCCCAGCAGCCATGGTGGCACCCTCCCATCGCTTGACCTCATAGCCTCCTGTTATCCATGATGGTATCCTCCCTTCACCCATCTGCTAATCCTCCCATCACCCATCCCAGTATCCTCCCATCACCCATCCTGGAATCCTCCCACCACCCTTCCCATCACCCATCCCAGCACTCAGTACCCATGGCCTCTCTGATGGGAAGCCATATGTTGGGAGCAGGGAAGGATGCTCCAGGGTTCAGCCCCCGTGACCTTCCCCACGTGCCCAGGAGGGCAGAGCATCCCCCCCGGGCACTGTGCTGTGGGATTCTCTCACCAGGACATCGTCGGGACACAGGGCCATGGTGCTCTCTGGCTCTTCAGTGACAGGAGGGATGGAGCCAGAACTCAGGGCTTCCAGCATGGCCATCTCAGGGCTGGAGTGGCCACCAGGGCCCAGCCCATTGTGGTCCCCAAGTGCGGACGAGCCCGTGGCCCCGTCCCTGTCAGGCAGCTCGAGCAGGGCAGTGCTGGGGGACATGAAGCGGCTGTAGAGCACACTGTTGTCCAGGCGTGAGTAGGGCTTGCCCTCATCAGCTCCAGCTGCCCGGTGCTCCAAAAAGTGGGAGAGCAGCGCCATGCCCTTGAGGACATTCCCTCGGAAGAGCACGCTCTGCTC